TCACTGCTCTAGAGGAGATCTGCATGGAGGAATGGGCCAAAATACCAGCAACAGTGTGTGAAAACCTTGTGAAAACTTACAGAAAACGTTTGACCTGTGTCATTGCCAACAAAGGGTATATAACAAAGTATTGAGAAACTTTTGTTATTGACCAAATACTTATTTTCCACCATAATTTGCAAATAAATTCATTAAAAATCCTACAATATGATTTTCTGGAGAAAAAAAATCTCATTTTGTCTGTCATAGTTGACGTGTACCTATGATGAAAATGACAGGCCTCTCTCATCTTTTTAAGTGGGAGAACTTGCACAATTGGTGGCTGACTAAATACTTTTTTTCCCCACTGTACATATGCACGCACCAATTTTCCAAATTTTTATTTTTTAGAATTTTTTCACTTCACCAATTTGGACTATTTTGTGTACGTCCATTACATGAAATCCAAAATAAAAATCCATTTAAATTACAGGTTGTAATGCAACAAAATTGGAAAAACGCCAAGAGGGATGAATACTTTTGCAAGGCACTGTACAAAGCCACATTTAGAAAAAGCTTTGTCCTGAACTAAAAAGCATTTTCCATTGAAAGCCCTATGTAGTTCAGGTGTATGCTAAATCTGTGTCTGGGAAACTGGCCCTAGGCTGCTGGTTATTATTTTCTGACCCCTAAATGTTCAGAAATAGAATGGGACCTAAGTACGGTACAAACTGGGTTGTTTAACCCCTCTGTGTTAATGCGGTGACTCAGATCTGACACTAGGAACTCGTAAATAATACTATATATCCTGAACAGCATTCTTTCATTTCTAAAATATCTTTGAAACATTCTGCTTTTAGGCTGCTGCAGAACTTTTGTTGCAGTAGAAATGTAGGAATCTATTTGGTCCAACCACAGAACTATAATTCATTCTCCAGATCCCTCTCTTCACTACCTTCCGTTTGTGCAGAATGCAGCTGCGTTGGATCTCGACCAAATCAAGACATGAGGTTATCAATCCCATTGTTAGTCTCTCCACAGTCTTTATAAAATAAATATTTGGCACATCAATCCTTTTTAGTGTCTCACCATTAGAGACCTCCTTGTTAGACTGCTGATTATAAGGCACTTCTTTTATTTAGTTTATCTTCATTGGCTCCCAGTTGAAAATCAGGGTGATTAAGGTACTTGTATTACCGTCTAAAGCCTTACATCATGGCCTGGCTCCCAGACTCTGGCTCCTACTCATTTAACCAGTCTAATTGGTCCTGATAATCTCCCCAGCTCAGATATTGCTCCGTTGCTCTGCTTGCCTCAGTGTGTCAGAGAAAACAGAAGAAGGAAGAGAAGGATGTAATCTCTCCTCTCCTCTCCTCTCCTCTCCTCTCCTCTCCTCTCCTCTCCTCTCCTCTCCTCTCCTCTCCTCTCCTCTCCTCTCCTCTCCTCTCCTCTCCTCTCCTCTCCTCTCCTCTCTTCTCTTCTCTACTAAAGCTCCAGTCATGTGTAACAATCTGTCTGTAGCTGTCAGGGAATTAGACATAATTGCTGTTTTTAAGTCCCTGATTAGTAAGAGCACCTTTCTAGAGTGGCCTGTGGCTGCTAATTAGACCATTTTAGATGTATTCATATTTTAGAAATGGAATTGATTTACTTTCTTTGATTTTCTCATTGTGTCCCTCTGATTCAGGGGTTCTCAGAGTGGGGTTCACAGAGGTACTGCAGGGGTCTGTGGCCAGATCTCAATATACAGTTGAAGTCGGAAGTTTACATACACCTTAGCCAAATACATTTACACTCAGTTTTTCACAATTCCTGACATTTAATCCTAGTCAAAATTCCCTGTCTTAGGTCAGTTAGGATCACCACTTTATTTTAAGAATGTGAAATGTCATAATAATAGAAGAGAGAATTATTTATTTCAGCCTCACATTCCCAGTTGGTCAGAAGTTTACATACACTCAATTAGTATTTGGTAGCATTGCCTTTAAATTGTTTAACTTGGGTCAAACGGTTCGCGTAGCCTTCCACAAGCTTCCCACAATAAATTGGGTGAATTTTGTCCCATTCCTCCTGACAGAGCTGGTGTAACTGAGTCAGGTTTGTAGTCCTCCTTGCTCGCACAGGCTTTTTCAGTTCTGCCCACAAATTTTCTATAGGATTGAGGTCAGGGCTTTGTGATGGCCACTCCAATACCTTGACTTTGTTGTCCTTAAGCCATTTTGCCACAACTTTGGAAGTATGCTTGGGGTCATTGTCCATTTGGAAGACCCATTTGCGACCAAGCTTTAACTTCCTGACTGTCTTGAGATGTTGCTTCAATATATCCACATAATTGGATATAGATACTTTTGTACATGTTTCCTCCAGCATCTTCACAAGGTCCTTTGCTGTTGTTCTGGGATTGATTTGCACTTTTCGCACCAAAGTACGTTCATCTCTAGGAGACAGAACGCGTCTCCTTCATGAGCGGTATGACGGCTGCGTGGTCCCATGGTGTTTATACTTGCGTACTATTGTTTGTACAGATGAACGTGGTACCTTCAGGCATTTGGAAATAGCCCCCAAGGATGAACCAGACTTGTGGAGATCTACAATTTTTTTTCTGAGGTCTTGGCTGATTTCTTTTGATTTTCCCATGATGTCAAGCAAAGAGGCACTGAGTCTGAAGGTAGGCCTTGAAATACATCCAGAGGTGCACCTCCAATTGACTCAAATGATGTCAATTAGCCTATCAGAAGCTTCTAAAGCCATAACATCATTTTCTGGAATTTTCCAAGCTGTTTAAAGGCACAGTCAACTTAGTGTATGTAAACTTCTGACCCACTGGAATTGTGATACAGTGAATTATAAGTGAAATAATCTGTCTGTAAACAGTTGTTGGAAAAATTACTTGTGTCATGCACAAAGTAGATGTCCTAACCGACTTGCCAAAACTATAGTTTATTAACAAGACATTTGTGGAGTGGTTGAAAAACAAGTTTTAATGACTCCAACCTAAGTGTATGTAAACTTCCGACTTCAACTGTATATCTATACACTACCAGTCAAAAGTTTGGACACACCTACTCATTCAAGGGTTTTTCTTTAATTTTACAATATGTTTTACATTGTAGAATTATTTTTCTTATTTTTATTTGTACCTTTATTTAACTAGGCAAGTCAGTTAAGAACAAATTCTTATTTACAATGACGGCCTACACCGGCCAAACCCGGACGACGCTGCGCCGCCCTATGGGACTCCTAATCACGGCCGGTTGTGATACAGGCCCCATGTAGCTCAGTTGGTAGAGCATGGCGCTTGCAACGCCAGGGTTGTGGGTTCATCTCCCCCGGGGGGCCAGTATGAAAATGTATGTACTCACTAACTGTAAGTCGCTCTGTATAAGAGTGTCTGCTAAAATGACAAAAAATCGAACCAGGGTGTCTGTAGTGACTCCTCAAGCACTGAGATGCAGTGCCTTAGACCGCTGCGCCACTCGGGAGCCCAATAATAGTGAAGACATCAAAACTATGAAATAACACATATGGAATCATGTATCCCCCCCCCCCCCAATTTTTTTACATATAAATGCCTGGACTACAGGAAAAGGAGGGCCGAACACGCCTCCATTCACATCGAAAGGGCTGTAGTGGAGCGGGTCGAGAGTTTCAAGTTCCTTGGTGTCCACATCACCAACAAACTATCATGGTCCAAACACACCAAGAAAGTTGTGAAGAGGTCACAACAACGCCTTTTCCTCCTCAGGAGACTGAAAAGATTTGGCATGGGTCCCCAGATCCTCAAAAAGTTCTACAGCTGCACCATTGAGAGCATCCTGACAGGTTGCATCACCGTCTGGTATGGCAACTGCTCGGCATCCGACCATAAGGCGCTACAGAGGGTAATGCATACGGCCCAGTACATCACTGGGGCCAAGCTTCCTGCCATCCAGGACCTCTATACCAGGCGGTGTCAGAGGAGGGCCCAAAGAATTGTGAAAGACTCCAGCCACCCTAGTCATAGACTGTTCTCTCTGCTACCGCACAGCAAGCAGTACTGGAGCACCAAGTCTAGGTCCAAAAGGCTCCTTAACAGCTTCTACCCCCAAGCTATAAGACTGCTGAACAATTCATCAAATGGCCACCCGGACTATTTACATTTACCCCCCCCCCCCCCAAATAGGCATCAATACTGGCTGGCTGATATGACAGGACATTTGTCTCAATGTAATGGCTACAGTTTACTGCTCATAGCTCTTTTTCTCTGTGACGTGTTCATGACAGTAATCTGATTTACTCTACCAGTCAGTTCATGGTAATATTTTCCATATTTCTCTGTGATGTTTCTGTGTGTGAGTCTATATGTGTTTGTGTGTGTGCGTGTGTGTGTGTATATATATATATATATATGTGTGTTTGTGTGTGTGTGTGTGTACACGTGTGTGTTTGTGTGTGTGTATATATGTCTGTGTGTGTCTTTGTGTGTTTGTGTGTCTTTATGTGTTTGTGTGTGTATATGTGTGTGTGTGTGTGTGTGTATGTGTGTGTGTGTGTATGTGTGTGTGTGTGTGTGTGTGTGTGTATGTGTGTGTGTCTTTATGTGTTTGTGTGTGTATATGTGTGTGTGTGTATGTGTGTTTGTGTGTGTGTGTGTGTGTGTGTGTATGTGTGTGTGTCTTTATGTGTTTGTGTGTGTATATGTGTGTGTGTGTATGTGTGTTTGTTTGTGTGTGTGTGTGTGTGTCCCAGTCATTCACAGAGAGGATGCAGAAGTTGATGTTTCTCCATCTTGTCTGTGATGATAAATGTTTCTCCCCAGCGTATCTAATCACTTTGCTATTCCGTCTCAGCGCCTGTAAAGAGCCTTGACGCACCCTCACTGTGTGTGTCTGTGTGTGTGCCTGTGTGTGTGTGTTTGTGTGTGTGTGTGTCTGTGTGTGTGTGTGTGTCTCCTGTGCCTGTGTATGCGCCTGCCTGTGTGTGTGTCTCCTGTGCCTGTGTATGCGCCTGTGTGCCTGTGTATCTCCCCCCTGCCTCCAGCTGTGTCGTGTGGCGTGCCCACTGCGCCGCTGAATGGAGGTGTGCAGGCGGTTGATTACTCCGTTGGCACACGTTTAACCTACTTCTGCAACAATGGCTTCAGGCTGTCCTCCAAGGATCTCACCACCACCGTCTGCCAGCCCGATGGCACATGGAGCAACCATAACAAAACACCCCGCTGCACAGGTAGGAAGGGAGAGGAGATGTCCCGCTGCTGGTACAGAACCAGCCTGTCTGTCTGCTTCCTTGTGAACACAGATAAAATAAATGAGTCAAGGTGGCAACAGCAAGGAACTTGGAGTCCACAGATGTGTGAAAGTAGATGAATGCATGCCACTTTAAAGCATCAAACAATAGAACTGGGTCTGTATGTCGGGGATGTCATGACGGGGATGTCATGTCGGGGATGTCATGACGGGGATGTCATGTCGGGGATGTCATGTCGGGGATGTCATGACGGGGATGTCATGTCGGGGATGTCATGTCGGGGATGTCATGTCGGGGATGTCATGTCGGGGATGTCATGACGGGGATGTCATGTCGGGGATGTCATGTCGGGGATGTCATGTCGGGGATGTCATGTCGGGATGTCATGACGGGGATGTCATGTCGGGGATGTCATGTCGGGGATATCATGTCTTGGATGTCATGTCGGGGATGTCATGTCGGGGATGTCATGTCGGGGATGTCATGACGGGGATGTCATGTCGGGGATGTCATGACGGGGATGTCATGACGGGGATGTCATGTCTGGGACGTCATGTCGGGGATGTCATGTCGGGGACGTCATGTCGGGATGTCATGTCGGGATGTCATGTCAGGGATGTCATGTCGGGATGTCATGACGGGGATGTCATGTCGGGGATGTCATGTCGGGGATGTCATGACGGGGATGTCATGTCGGGGATGTCATGTCGGGGATGTCATGTCGGGATGTCATGTCGGGATGTCATGTCGGGATGTCATGACGGGGATGTCATGTCGGGGATGTCATGTCGGGGATGTCATGTCTTGGATGTCATGTCAGGGATGTCATGTCAGGATGTCATGACGGGGATGTCATGTCGGGGATGTCATGACGGGGATGTCATGTCGGGTTCATTCTTGTTTTGTCAAGTAAAGAAATAAAGAGCACCGAGGTGCTGACTAATGGAAGTTAAACTAAAGTGGCGACTCCTCTCCATCACATTCTCGTCTCTCCTAGTTTCCGTAGTATTTGACCAAAACTCCTGTTCTATTGTTGTGTGTGTGGTCCCACATTGCTCTAATGAGAAATGATGAAACAATAGAATTGGTGGGTCCATATATTTACACGATCATGTGTGTTCTTGTTTCTTTGCTGTATTCTTTGTATATATATATACGTTTTGGGGTCTTGTCTGGGTCACTGTTAAAGCACTTTGTGACAACTGCTGTTGTAAAAAGGACATTCTAAGGAAATATGATGAATTGATGTGATTGAATGAATATGTATCATGTCCCACAGAGGTGGTGTACCCCAGTCTGGGTGGAGGTGGTGTACCCCAGTCTGGGTGGAGGTGGTGTACCCCAGTCTGGGTGGAGGTACCCCAGTCTGGGTGGAGGTGGTGTACCCCAGTCTGGGTGGAGGTGGTGTACCCCAGTCTGGGTGGAGGTGGTGTACCCCAGTCTGGGTGGTGGTGGTGTACCCCAGTCTGGGTGGAGGTGGTGTTCCCCAGTCTGGGTGGAGGTGGTGTACCCCAGTCTGGGTGGAGGTGGTGTACCCCAGTCTGGGTGGAGGTGGTGTACCCCAGTCTGGGTGGAGGTGGTGTACCCCAGTCTGGGTGGAGGTGGTGTACCCCAGTCTGGGTGGAGGTGGTGTACCCCAGTCTGGGTGGAGGTGGTGTACCCCAGTCTGGGTGGAGGTGGTGTACCACAGTCTGGGTGGAGGTGGTGTACCCCAGTCTGGGTGGAGGTGGTGTGCCCCAGTCTGGGTGGAGGTGGTGTGCCCCAGTCTGGGTGGAGGTGGTGTGCCCCAGTCTGGGTGGAGGTGGTGTACCCCAGTCTGGGTGGAGGTGGTGTACCCCAGTCTGGGTGGAGGTGGTGTACCCAAGTCTGGGTGGAGGTGGTGTACCCCAGTCTGGGTGGAGGTGGTGTACCCCAGTCTGGGTGGAGGTGGTGTGCCCCAGTCTGGGTGGAGGTGGTGTACCCCAGTCTGGGTGGAGGTGGTGTTCCCCAGTCTGGGTGGAGGTGGTGTACCCCAGTCTGGGTGGAGGTGGTGTACCCCAGTCTGGGTGGAGGTGGTGTACCCCAGTCTGGGTGGAGGTGGTGTACCCCAGTCTGGGTGGAGGTGGTGTGCCCCAGTCTGGGTGGAGGTGGTGTGCCCCAGTCTGGGTGGAGGTGGTGTGCCCCAGTCTGGGTGGAGGTGGTGTACCCCAGTCTGGGTGGAGGTGGTGTACCCCAGTCTGGGTGGAGGTGGTGTACCCCAGTCTGGGTGGAGGTGGTGTACCCCAGTCTGGGTGGAGGTGGTGTGCCCCAGTCTGGGTGGAGGTGGTGTGCCCCAGTCTGGGTGGAGGTGGTGTACCCCAGTCTGGGTGGAGGTGGTGTACCCCAGTCTGGGTGGAGGTGGTGTACCCCAGTCTGGGTGGAGGTGGTGTACCCCAGTCTGGGTGGAGGTGGTGTACCCCAGTCTGGGATCTTTCTCCAGGGACCATGGGTTTACTACTCTTCAGTGGTGGTATATCCTGAGTGGCACAGTGGTCTAAGGCACTGCATCGCAGTGCTAACTGTGCCGCTAGAGATCCTGGTTCGAATCCAGGCTCTGTCGCAGCCGGCCGCGACCGGGAGACTCGTGGGCGGCGCACAATTGGCCCAGGGTAGGGGAGGGAATGGCCGGCAGGGATGTAGCTCAGTTGATAGAGCATGGCGTTTGCAACGCCAGGGTTGTGGGTTCGATTCCCACGGGGGGCCAGTATAAAAAAATATATATATATATATATGTATTCACTAACTGTAAGTCGCTCTGGATAAGAGTGTCTGCTAAAATGAAAATGTATATGAAGGGTTACATTTCCCTAGCCCCATCCCTCAGCTATACACCAATAATAATAAGTGGTGGGGCTGCCATTTCTTTTTTTTTTTTTTATCCCAGACTGTAGCTTTAATTTTGTTGGTTTCTTCTTGTGTTTGTGGTCTCACAGTGGTGGTATATGAAGGGTTACATTTCCCTAGCCCCATCCCTCAGCTATACACCAATAATAATAAGTGGTGGGGCTGCCGTTTCTTGTTTTTTTTCAAATCCCAGACTGTAGCTTTAATTTTGTTGGTTTCTTCTTGTGTTTGTGGTCTCACAGTGGTGGTATGCCCCAGTCTGGGCTCCTTCTCTCTGGACCACGGGAAGTGGACGATCGTCAACGGGTCCAGTTATGAGTTCAGAACCAAGATCATCTTCAGCTGTAACCCGGGTTACTACCGGCTCGGCCCCGCTCACATCCAGTGCATGGCCAATGGGGCGTGGAGCTGGCGGAACGAAACGACCTCGATGCACAGAAGTGGGTTGGTGACATTTTTAGAACTTCTCCATTCTTGATGAAGTCTTTGTTGTATAGATCTTTCTATGTTGTCATGGGAACTATTGTAGGAACCCGCCTTACATTAGATTCAGATGTTTTGCCTTTTACAATAGGTGTGTGTGGGGGGTGGGGGTGAGAGTATTGAATAAGTATTGAGCCATTCAGTAATGTTCTCCCCTGTCTGTCTCTCTCTCTGCTCTCCCCCGTCTCTCTCTCTCTCTCTCTGCTCTCCCCTGTCTCTCTCTCTCTCTTCTCTCTTGCTCTCCCTGTTCTCTCTCTCTCTCTCTCTCTCTCTCTCTCTCTCTCTCTCTCTCTTCTCTCTCTCTCTCTCTCTCTCTCTCTCTCTCTCTCTCTCTCTCTGCTCTCCCCCGTCTGTCTCTCTCTCTCTGCTCTCCCCCGTCTGTCTCTTTCTCTCTGCTCTCCCCCATCTGTCTCTCTCTCTCTGCTCTCCCCCGTCTGTCTCTCTCTCTCTGTCTACCCCGTTATTTCTCTCTCTATGCTCTACCCCGTATGTCTCTCTCTCTCTTCTCTCTCTCGTCTGTCTACTCTCTCTCTCTTCTGCTTCTCCCCCCTCTCTCTCTCTTCTGCTATCAAGCTCTCGTCTCTCTCTCTCTCTCTCTCCCATTGTCTCTCTCTCTATATGCTCTCACCAAGTCTGTCCTCTTCTCTGCACTATCCCTGTTCTCTTCTGCTTCCCCCTCTCCTCTCTCTAGAATGCTCTCTTCTCTCTATATCTCTCTTATCTATCTTCTCTCCTCTCTCTGCTCTCCCCTCTCCTCCTCTCTCCTCTCCTCCGTCTCTCTCCTACTTCTCTCTCAGTTTCTTATATCTCTCGTATCTCTCTCTCCTCTCTTCTCTCTCTTCTCTCTTCTCTCTCTCTTCTCTCTCTCTCTCTCTCTTCTCTCTCTGTCTCTCTGGTCTCCCCTTCTGTCCGTCTCTTTTATTATTGCAGTCCATTTCCTGTGGATGAGCTGCCCACTCCTCCAAATGGGAGAAAGATTGGAACTCAGACTACCTTTGGAGGCTCGGCCATCTTCAGCTGCATCCCTGGATACATCCTGGTGGGATCCACCGTGAGGGAGTGCATGCTGTCAGGACTTTGGAGCGGCATAGAGGCTCAATGCCTGGGTAGGGACACCCACTCTAGCCTGGTTACCAGTCTGTTTGTGCCATCATGCCACTCCTTGTCGTGATAACACAGACATATCTGGGACCAGGCTAGTCCTATTCTCCTTTTCCTATTTATTTACTGGGACAGAAAGGCTTGAAAGAGAGAGAGATAGATAGATAGGACACATTTATAGTGGTAGTGGGATCAGATCCCACACAGACACATATGGTGTATGAAATGTTGGTGCCGGCACCAGCCAATAGAGCAGCTCAATGCACTGGGGCTACAGACTCTTCTACGGAGATGACTCTCTGGATCTTTTCGGGACCCTATGACAGAGTCTATGAATCTCTCGGTATCTCCGTTGCTGGAGAACCAAGCTAGCATATCTGAGCCACAGTATTCTGCTGCTCTCTGGGTTTTAAAAGCCTGTTAATAAATCTCTGGAGTGTTTCTGTAATGTGGGAGGGAAATGCTATGAGGAGGGAAATCTGAGTTGCATTAATTCGCTCTCTGTTTCCTCCGTTTAAGAGTTAAAGAGTTTCTACTAAGGCAGATTTATTGTAGCTCGAGGTAATGTGACTGTACTGTACTTGAGGAATATATCGAGAAATATTGAGAAAATACACTGACTGTACAAAACATTAAGAACACCTTCCTAATCTTAAATCTTTTGCCCCCCAGAACAGCCTCAATTTGTCGGGTCATGGACTCTACTAGGTGTCGAAAGCATTCCACAGGGATGCTGGCCCATGCTGACTCCAATGCTTCCCACAGTTGTGTCAAGTTGGCTGGATGTCCATTTGGGTGGTGGACCATTCTTGATACACACGGGAAACTGCTGAGCGTGAAAACTCAGCAGTGTTGCAGTTATAAAAAATAAAAAAAATAAAACCGGTGCGCCTGGCACTTACTACCATACCCGGTTCAAAGGCACTTCAATATTTAGTCTTGCCCACTGACCCTCTGAATGGCACACATACACAGTCCATGTTTCAATTGTCTCAAGGCTTAAAAATCCTTCTTTAACCTGTCTCCTCCACTTCCACTACACTGATTGAAGTGGATTTAACAAGTGACTTCAATGAGGGATCATAGCTTTCACCTGGACAGTCTGTCAAGGAATGAGCAGGTGTTGTTAATGTTTTGTATACTCAGTGTATGGAGAATATATAGACAATGTATAGAAATTATATAGAGTACATATCGAGGAAATATAGAGGATATATGTATAGAGGTTATATAGAGGATATATAGAGGATATATAGAGGCCATATAGAGGATATATAGAGGTTATATAGAGGCTATATAGAGGATATATAGAGGTTATATAGAGGATATATAGAGGTTATATAGAGGATATATAGAGGGTATATAGAGGATATATAGAGGATATATATAGAGGATATATAGAGGATATATAGAGGTTATATAGAGGATATATAGAGGATATATAGAGGATATATAGAGGATATATATATAGAGGATATATAGAGGATATATAGAGGATATATAGAGTATATATAGAGGATACATAAAGGGTATATAGAATATATATAGAGGATATATAGAGGGTATATAGAGGGTATATAGAGGATATATAGAGGATATATAGAGGCTTTTTAGAGGTTATATAGAGGATATAGAGGTTATATAGAGGTTTTATAGAGGATATATATAGAGGTTATATAGAGGATATATAGAGGTTATATAGAGGTTATATAGAGGATATATAGAGGATATAGAGAGGATATATAGAGGATATATAGTTATATAGAGGATATAGAGGATATTATAGAGGATATTATAGAGGTTATATAGAGGATATTATAGAGGATATATATAGAGGATATATATAGAGGATATATTGAGGATATATAGAGGATATATAGAGGATATATTGAGGGTATATAGTTATATAGAGGATATATAGAGGATATATAAAGGATATATAGAGGTTATATAGAGGATATAGAGGAAATATAGAGGTTATATAGAGGCTATATAGAGGATATATAGAGGATATATAGAGGATATATAAAGGATATATAGAGGTTATATAGAGGATATATAGAGGATATATAGAGGTTATATAGAGGCTATATAGAGAATATATAGAGGATATATAGAGGTTATATATAGTTATATAGAGGATATATAGAGGCTATATAAAGGATATATAGAGGTTATATAGAGGATATATAGAGGATATATATAGAGGTTATATAGAGGATATATAGAGGATATATAGAATATATATAGAGGATATATAGAGGGTATATAGAGGATATATAGAGGATATATAGAGGACATATAGAGGATATAGATGTTATATAGAGGATATATATAGAGGTTATATAGAGGTTATATAGATGATATATAGAGGATATGTAGAGGTTATATAGAGGATATAGAGAGGATATATAGAGGATATATAGTTATATAGAGGATATATATAGAGGTTATATAGAGGATATATAAAGGATATATAGAGGTTATATAGAGGATATAGAGGATATATAGAGGATATATAGAGGATATATATAGAGGATATATAGAGGCTATATAGAGGATATATAGAAGGTATATAGAGGGTATATAGAGGATATATAGAGGTAGAATAGAGGATATATAGAGGTTATATAGAGGATATATATAGATTATATATAGAGGGTATATAGAGGGTATATAGAGGATATATAGAGGATATATAGAGGATATATAGAGGATATAGAGGAAATATAGAGGATATATAGGATATATAGAGGATATATAGAGGCTTTATAGTTATATAGAGGATATATAGAGGATATATAGAGGATATATAGAGGGTATATAGTGGATATATAGAGGGTATATAGAGGATATATAGAGGATATATATAGAGGATATATAGTTATATAGAGGATATATATAGAGGATATATATAGGATATATAGAGGGTATATAGAAGATATATAGAGGATATATAGAGGACATATAGAGGATATATAGTTATATAGAGGATATAGAGGATATATAGAGGATATATAGAGGGTATATAGAGGGTATATAGAGGATATATAGAGGATATATAGAGGACATATAGAGGATATATATAGAGGATATATAGTTATATAGAGGATATTAGAGGATATATAGAGGATATATAGAGGATATATATAGGGTATATAGAGGATATATAGAGGATATATAGTTATATAGAGGATATATAGGGGTATTAGGAGGATATATAGAGGGATATAGAGGAATCTATAGAGGGTATATAGTGGAATATAGAGGGTATATAGAGGATATATAGAGGATATATATAGAGGATATATAGTTATATAGAAGATATATATAGAGGATATATATAGGATATATAGAGGGTATATAGAGGATATATAGAGGACATATAGAGGATATATAGTTATATAGAGGATATAGAGGATATATAGAGGATATATAGAGGATATATAGAGGGTATATAGAGGGTATATAGAGGGATTATAGAGGATATATAGAGGGAAAATAGAGGATTAAAAGAGGAATATAGTATAGATATAGGGATAAAATTTATAGAGGATAAATATTTGAGGATATATAGAATAGAGGTATAGAGGGTATATAGAGGATATTAGTTATAGAGGGTTAGGTATAGAGGGTATATAGAGGATATATAGAGGTATATGAGGGTATATAGAGGTATATAGAGGGTATATAGAGGATATATAGAGGAAAAGAGGATATATAGAGGTATATAGAGGAAGAGGTATATAGAGGACATATAGAGGAATATAGAGGGTATATAGAGGAAATATAGAGGGTTATATAGTTTTATAGAGGATATTTGAGGATATATAGAGGTATTGAGGATATATAGAGGGTATTATAGGGTATATAGAGGATATAAGAGGTAATAGAGGCATATAGAGGATATATAGAGGTATTAGTTATATAGAGGATTATAGGATATAAGAGGAATATAGAGGAATATAGAGGATAATAGGGTTTTATAGAGGATATATAGAGGATTATAGTTATATAGAGGATATATAGAGGATATATAGAGGATATTTTAAGAGGATATATAGAGGTATATAGAGGATATATAGAGGTTTTTATAGAGGGATATATAGAGGATATTAGAGGGTTATTTTAAGAGGTATATAGAGGTAATAGAGGATATATTTGAGGAAATATAGAGGATATATTTGAGGAATTATAGGGGTATATATAGGGATATATAGAAATATAAGGATATATAGGGTTATTATAGAGGATATTAGAGGTATATAGGTTTTAAAAGAGGATATATAGAGGTATATAGAGGAATATAGAGGGAATATAGAGGGATATATAGAGGGGTATATTAGGGGATATAAAGAGGTATAAGAGGATATAGAGGATATATAGAGGATATATAGTTATATAGAGGTAAAAATATAGAGGATATATAGAGGGATTATAGAGGATATTTTAGAGGATAAAAGAGGATATATAGAGGATATATAGAGGTATAAGGGTTATAAGGAGGATATTAGAGGATTATAGAGGATTATAAGTTTATAGAGGATATATAGAGGATATATAGAGGATAATTTTTAAGAGGATAATAGGATTATAGAGGGTATATAGAGGAATATAGAGGATATATAGGTTATATAGAGGATATATAGAGGTTTTATAGAGGGTATTATAGAGGAATATAGAGGGAATAAGATGAATATAGAGGATTATAGAGGGGTATATAGATAATAGAGAATTAGAGGAATATAGAGGATATTATAGAGGATATATAGAGGTATATAGAGGATATATAGAGGAATATAGAGGATATTAAAGGGGAAAATGAGAAATATAGAGGATATATAGAGGATATATAGAGGTTATATAGAGGATATAGAGGAATATAGAGGGAAAATAGAGGAGATATATAGAGGAATTATAGTAATATAGAGGATTATTTGAGGATATATAGAGGGAATATTTTTAGAGGTATATAGAGGAATATAGAGGATATATAGAAAGGGG